GTCTGCGTGGTATAAAAAGTTCAAAAACTACCAATATAACACCTGAAATAGGAAAATTTGATTCACAGACCAAATCATTTAGTAAAATAGAAAAGATTAAAGAACCAGAAAAGAAAAAACTAGACCAAGAGACAAAGCCAGATAAAAAAGAAAAACAAGACAAGAAAGTCGAACTGTCGAAAAAGGAAAAACAAGACAAGAAAGTCAAACTGCCAAAAAAGGAAAAAAAAGACAAGAAAGTGAAACTGTCTAAAAAGGAAAAACAAGACAAGAAAGTCAAACTGCCTAAAAAGGAAAAAAAAGACAAAAAAGTCGAACTGTCTAAAAAGGAAAAACAAGACAAGAAAGTCAAACTGTCTAAAAAGGAAAAACAAGACAAGAAAGTCGAACTGGGTCAAAAGGAAAAACACAAGAAAGTCAAATTGCCAAAAAGGGAAAAAAAAGACAAGAAAGTCAAACTGTCTAAAAAGGAAAAACAAGACAAGAAAGTCAAACTGCCTAAAAAGGAAAAAAAAGAAAAGAAAGTCGAACTGTCTAAAAAGGAAAAGCAAGACAAGACAGTCAAACTGTCTAAAAAGGAAAAGCAAGACAAGAAAGTCGAACTGTCTCAAAAGGAAAAACAAGACAAGAAAGTCGAACTGTCTCAAAAGGAAAAACAAGACAAGAAAGTTAAACTGCATAAAAAGGAAAAACTAAACAAAAAGACAAAACCGGATAAAAAGGCAAAACCAATCAAAGAGGAAAAAACACACAAAACGGCCAAAGCTAGAAAGGAGAAACAAGTTACACAAATTATAGCAGGTCCAGAAAAGATAAAAGAACCACAAAAGAAAAAGCTTTATAAAGCAGCAAAATTAGAAAAAAACATAACAGAGCCTAAAAAGAAAAAAGCGCAAGAAATGGCCAAAACAAAAGGAAAATCTAAAAAATCGCCCAAATCTATGAGTGCTATTCAGGAAAGGAGCTTAAAAGCAAGTAGGGGCAGCGGCAAATCTCCACCACAAACACAATCTTCTGGTATAAAAAGTTCACAAACTACAATTAAAACACCTGGAATAGGAACATCTGATTCACAGACCAAAACAGTTAGTAAAATAGAATCATCTGCTACATCTAAAAAATCACCCAAATCTATGAGTGCTATTCAGGAAAGGAGTTTAAAAGCAAGTAGGGGCAGCGGCAAATCTCCACCACAAACACAATTCTCTGGTATAAAAAGTTCACAAACTACCATTAAAACACCTGGAATAGGAACATCTGATTCACAGACCAAAACAGTTAGTAAAATAGAATCATCTGCTAAATCTAAAAAATCACCCAAATCTATGAGTGATATTCAGGAAAGAAGTTTAAAAGCAAGTAGGGGTAGCGGCAAATTTCCACCACAAACACAATCTGCTGGTATAGAAAGTTCACAAACTACCAATATAAAACCTGAAATAGGAAAATCTGATTCACAGACCAAATCATTTAGTAAAATAGAATCACCTACTAAATCTAAAAAATCACCCAAATCTATGAGTGCTATTCAGGAAAGGAGTTTAAAAGCAAGTAGGGGCAGCGGCAAATCTCCACCACAAACACAATCCTCTAGTATAAAAAGTTCACGAACTACCAATATAACACCTGAAATAGGAACATCTGATTCACAGACCAAATCATTTAGTAAAATAGAATCATCTGCTAAATCTGGAAAATCACCCAAATCTATGAGTGCTATTCAGGAAAGGAGTTTAAAAGCAAGTAGGGGCAGCGGCAAATCTCCACCACAAACACAATCCTCTGGTATAAAAAGTTCACAAACTACCATTAAAACACATGGAATAGGAACATCTGATTCACAGACCAAAACAGTTAGTAAAATAGAATCATCTGCTATATCTGGAAAATCACCCAAATCTATGAGTGCTATTCAGGAAAGGAGTTTAAAAGCAAGTAGGGGTAGCGGTAAATCTCCACCACAAACTCAATCTGCTGGTATAAAAAGTTCACAAACTACCAATATAAAACCTGAAATAGGAAAATCTGATTCACAGACCATATCATTTAGTAAAATAGAAAAGATAAAAGAACCAGAAAAGAAAAAACTAGACCAAGACACAAAGCCAGATAAAAAAGAAAAACAAGACAAGAAAGTCGAACTGTCGAAAAGGGAAAAACAAGACAAGAAAGTCAAACTGCCAAAAAAGGAAAAAAAAGACAAGAAAGTCAAACTGTCTAAAAAGGAAAAACAAGACAAGAAAGTCAAACTGCCTAAAAAAGAAAAAAAAGACAAGAAAGTCGAACTGTCTAAAAAGGAAAAACAAGATAAGAAAGTTAAACAGTCTAAAAAGGAAAAACAAGACAAGAAAGTCAAACTGCCAAAAAAGGAAAAAAAAGACAAGAAAGTCGAACTGGGTCAAAAGGAAAAACACGACAAGAAAGTCAAATTGCCAAAAAAGGAAAAAAAAGACAAGAAAGTCAAACTGTCTAAAAAGGAAAAACAAGACAAGAAAGTCGAACTGTCTCAAAAGGAAAAACACGACAAGAAAGTCAAATTGCCAAAAAAGGAAAAAAAAGACAAGAAAGTCAAACTGTCTAAAAAGGAAAAACAAGACAAGAAAGTCAAACTGCCTAAAAAAGAAAAAAAAGACAAGAAAGTCGAACTGTCTAAAAAGGAAAAACAAGATAAGAAAGTTAAACAGTCTAAAAAGGAAAAACAAGACAAGAAAGTCAAACTGCCAAAAAAGGAAAAAAAAGACAAGAAAGTCGAACTGGGTCAAAAGGAAAAACACGACAAGAAAGTCAAATTGCCAAAAAAGGAAAAAAAAGACAAGAAAGTCAAACTGTCTAAAAAGGAAAAACAAGACAAGAAAGTCGAACTGTCTCAAAAGGAAAAACACGACAAGAAAGTCAAATTGCCAAAAAAGGAAAAAAAAGACAAGAAAGTCAAACTGTCTAAAAAGGAAAAACAAGACAAGAAAGTCAAACTGCCAAAAAGGGAAAAAAAAGAAAAGAAAGTCGAACTGTCTAAAAAGGAAAAGCAAGACAAGACAGTCAAACTGTCCAAAAAGGAAAATCAAGACAAGAAAGTCGAACTGTCGGATAAAAAGGCAAGACCAATCAGAGATGAAAAAACACACAAAACGGCCAAAGCTAGAAAGGAGAAACAAGTTACACAAATTATACCAGGTCCAGAAAAGAAAAAAGGACCAAAAAAGAAAAAGCTTTATAAAGTAGCAAAATCAGAAAAAAACATAAAAGGGCCTAAAGAGGAAAAATCGCAAGAAATGGCCAAAACAAAAGTAAAATCTAAAAAATCACCCAAATCTATGAGTGCTATTCAGGAAAGGAGCTTAAAAGCAAGTAGGGGCAGCGGTAAATCTCCATCACAAACAC